GTAGTGGGGTGGTATATTTTAATTTATTGAAATATCTACAATCATTTAAACACCTAGTAGAATTTATTTGTATACCTTAATGTTGGAATTATAAAGACTTTCTCTTATATCGTTAACCCTCTGGAGTCTAAGGTATTTTCCTCGATTGTTTAGATGTTTCCCACCTTTTAAAGTACTTGTTATAAACATGGCTCACCCCATGTGTCACATATAAAAATGTTCAGGACAATTCTCTGGACTTGCTATCGAATGCAAATACTCACCTTAGAGCACTGTGTGAATGAGATTAAGTAGCTCTAAGCTAACATTTGACATCTGAATTTTGGAAAAATCTCAATAACTCTTGTGAAAACACAAATTTACTAATTTCATCCAATTCTTGATTGGTGTTTAGATTTGGTTACCAAAGATTAGGACACAGAAGTAGTGGAAATATCTTTGAATTACACTGTTATAAATGTAATTCATGTCTTAAAAATAAAAAGATTAAATTCGATTTTGGAGTAAAACAGTTGTTTACACTCTGACTTTCACCACAGCAGGGATTGAGATACATTAGATGATAATAATTCATATATACAATACTAAGTTCATGTGATGCTGAGAGAATACACAAATACAAGATTGAGCATTCAAACTTTTGTTCAAGCCAAAACAAATTATTTAAATAAGTTTTTTCAACCAACGTATTTATTATAAATTTAAGAAACTGGAACAATCTCACTATATTAAATATTGAACATCGAACTTTCAACCAACTATTCATTATTAAATGTCAAGACAGTATCAAGGCTTTGTCTGTTCTTCCAGAGACAGTGGGTCTGGCTGCTGTGTAGGCGGTGATGGTGCATTGGGCTGCAGTGTGTTAGATGTGGGGGGTACAAGAGTGCTATACGAAGACCTCCACGAGACCTTCCTTGCTGGCGGGTTGATTGGTTGGATGGCTGTGAGTGGAGCCTTTGTGCTGGAGGATGTATCTTGACCTGAGCTGGCAGCCGCAGATGGAGGTGCTGAGGCAGCTGTAGTGATATGGAGGGAATCTATTTTGTCCCATGGTCCAAGTCATTTTGTTCATGACTATCGAAAAAAAAAAAAAAATCAATTAAACAATTGATTGAATGCCTCAAGAATGTCATGCCCGCATTTTACTGGACCATCCTTATCATTTTTTAACCACACCTTCTTTAATGCTCTTACAACCTTTTATGTTTTTATTATTACCATGTTTATAATTTCAATATGATCCTTTCGAATCATTTTTATGTATTTTCTACCTTATCAGCTTTGTGAAAGAACCATTGAGATGTGCTATAATAAATCAAATGTGTTATTTATTATTATTGCAAGAACACTCACTAAAATTACCCAGGGCACGGTCTCTTCCCTTTACAGGCGACATGCAGGTTGCATGCGTGGGGCCTCTCACCTTGCGAGGGGGGGGGGGGCCCATCTCGTGTGAGAGGAAGATGCCTCAACTGAGCCGAGAAATGCGGCCAAATAGTGATGCTCCGGCCGGTTCGCCGCTGCGAGACACCTCCACTAGCACTACCACTCACAGTTTTACAGGTTTTTTTTCACTTTCAAATATATCATTCAAATTGACAACATCAATATGTGTACATTCGGGCGCACAAATTCAAACGAATCGAAAGATAAATCTTTCTCTCCCATTGACTAAATCGATACATAATTTTTCCGAAATAAGTATCCCCATGGAGTCCCCGGAAAGGAGGCGACTTTGCCTCTCTATAGACCACAATGGTCTTATTTGGATAGGCAGGAGTGAGCCATACATTTACGATTTGTAAATCAGAAGATGAGCCAAGGGTAGAAATGAAGAGAACTTCCAGCAAGCAACACATTCCACAGAACACATCCTTCTATAAATAAACCTCAGTCCTATATCTGAATCAGTCAGGTAACAGGAAGACAGTTACCGGCGGCGGGCAGGGATGAATGAATGCTTCTGGCTGATAACGAAATGATGACCTAATTATTCACTCTGATTACAGGATGCAACGCAATGTTGTTAAATCATGCTATGTTTGAGAAGAGCTGCGGGGCCTGCGGGCTCACCATGTGGGGAGGTCTCAAAAAGCTTGGCCTGGAAGT